CTGCAAGCGTTGCGCAAGCCGTTGCCTGGATTCCCGTGCACTTCACGAGCGCGAGATTAGCGTTAGATTTATATGGAAATTCTGGGACACACACGTCGCGATGTATTTTTACATACGGCGCTCCAATCCAAATCCAATAGCGGTAGAAAAGAAATTAAAAGAAGGCTTTTGCTTGTATAACCGTGTTGCTCGATATGCTCATCATTATTCCGAATCTAACAAAGTCAAGCTTTTTAAGCTTCGTTTACTTTATGTATAAGCAACAATATTATAATTTTTTTTTTAATTTTAGTTCTTGAGTAAAGATAATATTTTTTTATATCGATACAAATTCAATCAAATCAAGACTAAAATTTTCACTATTCTTGTATACGAGAATATATATAATCTTGATTTAATTATGTAAGACTAATTTTTTTTCATATGTATTTTAATGCGATTATTCATGACAATCAAGTCGAGACTAAAATTTTTAAGAAGATTATAATATTCCTGCTTGTATACGAGAATGTATAATCTTGATTTAAGACTAATTTTTTTTCACGTGTATTTTAATGCGATTATTCATGACAATCAAATCAAGACCAGAATGTTTAAGAAGATTACAATACTCTTGCTTATATATGAAAATACTTGATTCAAGACCATTTTTTTTCTGTGCACGTTGGATTTATGGGACATTCTGTATAATTAATTTCTCATTTTTAAAATGCAAAATATTTTCGATCTCGCAATAAACAACGCGTTATCGGCGACCGTGATACTCTAATCTAGCACGTTCATTAACATAATATAATGTTTGTTATATACAGGCGTTGACGAGTACGTACTAATTAACGTGCGCGTAATGGATATCGCGAGAACGGAACTGCGCGCCGTTATCTAAATATTTAATTATGAATCAAACGTATCGCGCAATACGTCTCACGGTCCTACGCAAATTTGAAATCGTGCGAATAATGTATTTTCGTTCGGATCAGTCATACCGGTTATTTTTTATCTTTATCGAACAATGCCCTGATTATTTGCGGAATACGAAATGAACGAGTGACGCGATAAGCGACGGTCGTCGATAGCGCCGATAGAAATGTACGAAGAACGGAGCGCGAGGCGCACCTCTCTCGTCGATCCACCGTCGTCGTCGTCGTCGTCGTCGTCGTCGATTTCAGGACGACTGAATTCATCGCGCTGAAATCATCCGAGATGCCCGCGATGCAATCATCTTCGCGAATGCGTCCGACCATATTGGAACTATGCCACTCGTGGGCGGCGCGGCTACGTCGCGATAAATAAGTAAACCCTCGCGCATCGGCGAGGACGTAATTAGCGCCTCGTTTCGTCCTAAACGGCGCAATTCGCCCGAGATGGTAATCGACTAATTCGGACGCTATCGAGGTAAGGCAAACACGATCCATTATAAACGCTCGTTCGGTCGCTCGCTCGCTCGTCGTCGTCGTCATCGTCGTCGTCGTCGTCGTCGTCGTCGTCGG